TTAGCAGTTGAAGAAGGAGCAGTTAGCAGTTGAAGTTGCATGAAGATTGCTGTAGTCTGAAGAGTTCTCCATTGACTTCCATGTTAAAAATGGGATCTATTGGATGTATCTCTGGAATTATGAAAGTTATGAATGATAAAAGTAGCCATTGATTCCCGACCGAGCTGAACGTTTTGATGTTTGAACGGAGTTTCTGCGATGTTCAATGTGGGAGAAGAAGCAGCGCAAAATAACCCGGCGGAATAATAAAGAATTTTGTGCGTAGCATAACAGATAGTTGGAATGCTGTGTCAGCATTCCCACTAAATGACATTAAAACTGTCATTAAAAGCCGAGATAATACAAATAAACAAGCTAGAACGGACTAAGACAGCTATACAAATACAAGAAGTGAGAGTTGCAGCAGACTATTTGTTTTGCTATAATCCAGATATATGGGGCATAATAATTGAATACTGCTTCTACCAGTTTAGTTTTCCGGGGATGGAAAGCAGACGCGACCTGAGAGTTCAGTGGACTGATAATACAACCAAATATACAACAACAGCTTCATCAATTTCAAAATCATTTTCATTTGTATGCATTTTAAGATTTCATAACGAAATGAGATACAATTACATTAAAATGCATGAATTAAAAAAATAACAATACACAAATCAAAAAAGAGAAAACAAACAAACAAAAAAAGGTATATATACAGTATATATGATAANGCTGCACAGTTCAGGATCCCAGCATCTGCATGTAAACGCACGATGGCGCACAGACACGTTCAAAATTAAACTGTCATCGCTGTCTGAGCTTGCTGCTGTGTGCGCCATCGTGCGTTTACATGCAGATGCTGGGATCCTGAACTGTGCAGCTGGAGCGCTGTGCCCGCATTGACGTCACCCATAATTTGGCGGGACTTGAAGAATCCCTGAGAAGATCCAGGAAATGGTCAACATTGAAGGGCAGATTAATGGTTATCAAAGTACAAATATCCAAAATCAGTTCAGTAACGGTTTTCAAGGGGACAATATTTACTCAAATTGATGGGTTTGGATGATGGGGGAAAATCGTGTCACAGACTCTTTAACAGGCCAGGCCATCGGGAAACCCCCCCGGTCCTCCCGATGGCCAGTCCGGGACTGGGTACAGGAGGCGTAGAGCGAGGGATCATTGTCCACAAGTTAATCGATCGCAGATGGCGTTGTGGTCACGGACGAATAAAAAAATATATATATATAAAAATAAAATAAATAAATAAATGGTTCGCGAAATATACTTGGCCGGCCGTTAATACACCTGGCGGCCCGCCCAAGTAAAGTCTATGTGTGGGAAACCCTGACATGCTAATACAATTGTAAAAGTTACAACTGCTATTGAATGCTATAATAGGCCTAGCTGCACAAGTAATGACATTTCCATTAGCCTTAACTGTTGTTAGCTGTGCGTTAGCATGCTAAAATACTGAAATAGGATGATGAAAAATCTCTCTCTCTCTCTCTCTCTCTCGCCCTGTAATGAGTTTTTGTACTCTTTTGTACTTGTAAACAAAAGTTTTTGTCCCCTGTGTGTTTTTTTGTAATGAGATTTTCCATGGAATAACAGACAGCTAACAGACTAATTTCCACCACTCATGGACCACAGCCACCTTTTCTTTTGAAAAACTGGGTGATATACTGTCGCTCTTTAGTCCCTCTCTCTTGTCTTTCTCTCCTTTCTTTTCTTTTTGAAAGCCTGACTTTGTTAGTCGTTGAGACATGGTACACAAGCAAGTACTAGCATCCCTGCTCACATGCACTCACTCTCTGCTAGAAAGTGCCGTTTGGAGGCGGAGGCGGGACCAAACCATTACATGTAAATAGAAGGGGGTGTACAAACTAGAGGCTTTGGATAATTAACTTTTGGAAGAAAATAAGTTAAATGAATTGTAAGTTTAGTGAGTACATTATCAATATAACGTTCTATTAATGTTAATTCTTGATGAATGATGAAAGGTTACTTAAACATTTTTTTCTTAATGTTCTAAAAGTTTGGGCCCCCGTGGTGAGGGTGTTTGGGGTGGCCAGGATTCACCCCCCAGCTCCGCCACTGCCCAGACTGTAATGATTTCCACCTCATTTAATACTTTGCACCTCATTCTGGTGTTGGTGACGTGTAGGCTACTCTGCGAGACCAGAGATGTAGTTCATTGAGCGGATAAAGTATTCTGATTATGAATTTGGGACACAGTATTTTCATGGTGGATTGAATAGTTATAATATATTTATTTCCCTAGAGGGATCCTTTTTTTATTCCTTTCTCATTCCCTCTCAAAATAATTGGTTACTGAGTGTACCATGTGAGGAAAAACAGTCTTGCCCGAGGGCCCTTCAGAAGCATATATTAGTTGACAAAGGGCGTCTGTAATAATTCATCCATTTTGTAGCCTGAAACCTCATTTACAGTGAGTGACACTCCCATTCTTCACTGATGCAAATTTGGGGCAAATACAATGAAAGGAATAACTCAAACACTTCAAAATCTTTTAATATATTTATTAATATTCAAGATGCATTTGTTTAAAAAAGAAATGAAATGCTACATGGGCCATATCAAAAGACAAACATGTTATTGGGGATTTTCAAGGCAGTATTAGGAACTATAGAAAAACCTTTGCAAGAACAAGTTGTTTTTCTCCATAGAGTATGAAACCATCAAGTTCCCCCCACTTTAACACATTTGAACAAGTGTAAATTTGACCTGTGGATAGACAAGGTACTAATGTGCTTAAGGCCTCAGATTGCTGTACAAAAAGAGCACGGGAAAGACAAGTATGTAAATGCAATGGTGGTGCAACGATGACTGTACATAAAACAATTCTGGCAAGTTCGGAATAACCTGCAATAATGATTCTAAAGAAGGCTTTAATTAAAAAAGTGTAAACTACCATGGTGTTGTTAAAAAGGCTGACGTGAATGAGGAAAATGACAGACTAGATCTGCGACATTCAAGAAATACCATAGCAGTTGATTTATTCTGATCAAGACGTGTGTTAGAAATAGCCCTTTTCAGCGATTATTTTTGCTTTCTTCTGCTGACGGTGATCCAGGTTTCTTCTTTAGGCGTGGATACCAGCTCAGATCTCACATCCACCACCTGCCCCTTCAGAGGGTGAAGCTTCAGCTGCCGCACCAACGTACTGAGCAGGACAGTAGCCACAGTGTAGGCAAACCTGTGAAAGAGACCAAATGTGATGGATGGTGGAAATGTTATTGAAGACACTTTTTCACTTCTACTCACTGTCATTGCTCTCATATTAGCTCCGTCTATGTCTAGACTTTACCTGAGTTCCGGACATGTTTGATTCCCTGAGAATCCGAGAAGACAGAAGCTCTTCCTCGCCGATTCCTCCTCAAATCGATCCGGGTCAAACCTGAGGGGATGTCACAGTAATCACAGATCAGAAATGGCACAGACCAACATGATAAGCCCCACTATGTGATGCTGTCATACCATCTGATTCTATACAATTTGTTCCAAGAGGTACTTTCTGATTAAATGGATTCATCTAAACAATTATCATTATTTAGATTCAGTAATGAGGAAAAGGAACACTACTTGCATTTGTTTTTCTATTATTCATATGTTGAACATTGTGGAGCAATATCCAAAATTAGCTAAAAAAACAATATGCTTATGAAAAAGTCCACAGATTATACATTTCAAAGATCCTATTTCTGGACAGCCATTTTTTTTTTTTTAAAGTAAATGTTAATGTTGAACCTGTATGGGGTGCTCCACGTGTCAGAATCCTGAAGGACGACTCCCAAAGCGTAGATGACCAAAGTCTGAAAGCAGAGCATTTTGATTTTGATTTACAAAGTTATTATTACTCAATCTCTTTATACATCTCCAGAGTAAACTGTGTGGTTTCCCATCTGTATTATTTTAGCAGGAAGCAGATACCTCTTTGGGGATGACATGCTGATCCACCTTGCCCTCCACTTCCTGCAGCCTCGCAGCGACGGGGGTCAGCTTGGCGGTCCTCACCGTCTCGTTCAGGACCTGCTGGCAGTATCTGTCAGACACAGGAATGTGATCAGATCAAGGTCATACAACACAGCAGCATCACCTGGATGTTCATGCATGTAGCTAGTATGACCTTGAATTAAATCTGTGCAATACCTCTCTACGCTTTACCAAAATTGGACCATTGCCATTCTCCAAAAATCTTACCTCAGCTCAGGGATCTTGTCTAATGAAATGGGGTCTGAACCCAAAACCTGCTCCAGCTCCTGGCACAGTTTGTCCTGAACGTCCTCCGAGGTGGACAGGAAGTGAAGTGCCCAGATACACACTGCAGAAACACAACATTTTAACTTCCTTTTGGTTTAGCTTTTTTGTTCCTAAGTTGCTGTTTCTGGACATACAGTGGCTTAATAATATAACTTGACTTGACTTTATAAAATAAATATACAACTCGGGATTTACTTGTGGTCCTCCTGACATGTGAACAGGCCCGGTTCCAGTAGTAGGTTTACATGAGCAATAGTGGCCGGCAACAGCAATGAAAAATAGCATTGATGCTCCCCAATGAACAGATTATGGCATTTGTTATGTTTTGAAACCAAGCAAGTGAGAACATTTCAAGTTAAAAGTGCAATCCTGAAATATTTCATATAGTCCAAAGTGGACTATGGGAAAGAAAAGCACAAAAGCTTCAAAACTGTACTGATAAAACAAATGAGAACATATTGCAAATCAAGGCAAATATTATTTGAACCAGCTCATGGTTTGAAATGGCAAACATTTAAAAGCAAAAGTATTATTAAAACCATGTACTACATCATCACTTTGGTCCCATCATATACTCTGGGAAGAGAATATTTACTGTGCTTGAAAACTGGTATCACATCATCATGTGAGGTTGACTTTGCGACCTGGAGAACATTTCAGCTGCAAAATTAGCTCATTGATAAGCTTGGGATATGAGATATTTTTGTAGCCATTCGTGGTGAAGGCATCTGTGCTATTGTATGCATTATTTTTGACCCAACATTTCTATAGGAATATGGCATTATTTTCACATGAATATTCTTGCCATTGTCTATTTTTATACCACGAGCTGCAAAATGACCGCCTAACCCCACTGTACAGGCGGGTACTTGTTTAGATATACCTGGGCAGGCTCTGTTTTGCCGTGGTATCCTGGCACCTGCGGGCCGCAGAGGGGCGGCGTAGTGTCGGGCGACGAAGACTGCTGCTCCGGGGGCGAGGGCGGCGAGTCAGGCGGGAGTAAGCTAGTGTCCACAACGGAGGGTAACGTGATGTCCCCATCTGACCTGTTGCTACTGTCTGCAGTAGATGCAGTGTTGCTGGCGTTTAGTGATGGTTACTTTAACCATTTTCGTATAAATGATTATCCACAGATGTGTGTCACTGCTGTGGAAGCACTTGCAAATGATGCACGCGCAGCGGAGCAGGTCACGTGCACCTGACACAATTTGTAGTTTGTATTTTTCGCTCCTTTCTCTTTTTTGACTAGAGGGTGCATAACATTCAACTGCCCCGAAGATCCCGACGCGAAACCTGAAGAGTAAACACCAGGTTTACTAATCTAGCCGCACGATTTGTCTCTGGTGTCGGAATGTCTCGCTATGTTAGTACTTTCTTAAAAAACAAAACACCATTTCATTTCGGGTTAAAATGTGTTGTAACTGCGTTACTGAGCATTGTAACGGGTAATATATTACCCACATTTCATTAGTAATGCGTTACATTACTTTGTTACTTCAGCAAAAAGTAATATATTACTGTAACTCTGTTACTTTTGTAACGCGTTACACCCAACACTGCCTACTACAAACCACTACCGCGGATTGGGCAGAGAAGGAGTCCGAGAAAGTTGCTCCCCCATGTAACGTAATATGACGCGTTTGACGTATGACGTAAAAAAAGCAGTTTTTAGTAGCAGAGCTCAAAACGGCTCCTTTCCCCTCTGAATTCCTGCCCTTATCTCTCGTAAAACGTATCAAATCCTGCATTCACTTTTTTAATTGTAATTTTCAGGCAGGGTTAAGCATAAATCTAGTAAAAACAAAAACCTGCAAGTTCCTCTTTAACTATCTCCTCCTAGGGACTTCCAAATTCGTCGGGTAGCGTCTCCAGACATGGGCGACAAAACGATATCACAGAATTGTTTTTGTTTCGCACGGCATAGCCGTGATTTGGCGCCAATGTTCGCATTCGCTCGATGCTATGCAATCCCTCGCCATGGAACACGATGATTTCATAACTCTAACTGACATGCTCAGAATGCCACCAAACTTCACATGATGGTTAACACTGCCGCCCTGAACAGCTCTACATCAAACTGATGTTACATAATGTGGCATTACCTCAAATCCCTCGCCATAAAACATGGTGTTGCTGTAACTCCAATGGAAACGGTCAGATCGTCCCCCAATCTTCACTTGTATGTCACCGGTCCATGCCTCTCACCATACGCTGTTTCCATGGCAACGCATCCCTCGCCATGAAACACGATGTTGTCGTAACTAAATGGCAAATTGTCCAAACGGCACCAGACTTCAGATGATGGCTAATGGTCCGGCCCTCAACAGCTTTATGTCCATTGGGATGTCATCATATGCTGTTTCCATGGCAAGGCATCCCTCGACATAAAACACGATGTTGTCGTAACTCAATGGAAAATCGTCCAAACAGCACCAGATTTCAGATGATGGCTAATGGTCCGGCCCTGAACAGCTCTATGTCAATTATGGGGTGTCATCATATGCCGTTTCCATGGCATCCCTCGCCATAAAACACGATTTTGTCGTANGCATCATGGTTTGGGGCTGCTTTGCTGCCTCAGGGCCTGGACAGATTGCCATCATCGACGGAAAAATGAATTCTCAAGTTTATCAAGACATTTTTCTGGAGAACTTAAGGCCATCTGTCCACCAATTGAAGCTCAACAGAAGATGGGTGATGCAACAGGACAACGACCCAAAGCACAGAAGTAAATCAACAACAGAATGGCTTCAACAGAAGAAAATAGGCCTTCTGGAGTGGCCCAGTCAGAGTCCTGACCTCAACCCAATTGAGATGCTGTGGCATGACCTCAAGAGAGCGATTCACACCAGACATCCCAAGAGTATTGCTGAACTGAAACAGTTTTCTAAAGAGGAATGGTCCAAAGTTCCTCCTGACCGTTGTGCAGGTCTGATATGCAACTATAGGAAACGTTTGGTTGAGGTTATTGCTGCCAAAGGAGGGTCAACCAGTTATTCAATCCAAGGGTTCACATACTTTTTCCACCCTGCACTGTGAATGTTTACATGGTGTGTTCAATAAAAACATAAAACATATCATTGTTTGTGTGGTTTTAGCTTAAGCAGACTGTGTTTGTCTATTGTTTTGACTTAGATGAAGATCAGAACACATTTTATGAGCAATTTATGCAGAAATCCAGGAAGTTCCAAAGGGTTCACATACTTTTTCTTGCAACTGTATATACCTTTGTGTTTAAGTAGGCTCACTTATTAGAGTCCTCCCTTCGGTTGGTTGCCCATTTAAACTTGCGCCCCCTCGTGGCCACTTTTGGTTGTTATTTAAACCGGTGTTTTTGTGGCACCTTGTTTGTTTCAGGCTGCTTGCCTGCCATTGTGTCTACCTGTTATACATTAAAACTATTTATAATTATACCAATTCCAACTGGTGTGTGTTGCAATTCCTCATCCCTAGTGAGGACGTAACAACCGCCTTACCCCACTGTACAGGCGGGTACTTGTTTAGATATACCTGGGCAGGCTCTGTTTTGCCGAGGTCCCCTGGCACCTGCGGGCCTCAAAGGGGTGGCGTTGTTTCGGGCGACGAAGACTGCTGCTCCGGGGGCGAGTCAGGCGGGAGTAAGCTAGTGTCCACAACGGAGGGTAACGTGATGTCCCCATCTGATCCTGTTGCTACTGTCTGCAGTAGATGCAGTGTTGCTGGCGCTTAATGATGGTTGCTTTAACCATTTTCGTATAAATGATTATCCACAGATGTGTGTCCCTGCTGTGGAAGCAGTATAATCCCTTCTCTTTTTTGAATAGAGGGTGCATAACATTCAACTGAGGGTGCATGCATGCCTATGCACCCCCGTAGAACCGGGCCTGCATGTGAAGAAAACTTTGTAATACCTATTTTCATTAGGTCTTATAAAATGTTGTTGTCATTTTCTATTCCATATTTATGTTGTTGGTCTTCTGCTTTCAACGGAATTTTTAATATCCTCTCAATAATTCATGTTATGAACCAGAAACCTGAGAGAAGTCCTGGTGATAAAGTAAAATCTACTTGGAAATAAACGATGTGATATTTTGCGGGTTCTTTGAATAACTGACATGTTATTGCAGCCTTTAATATAAAGTATGAATCAATAAATCAATTGACTGTGATTTGTGTCACTTACAGTTGGCAGTGATGACAGATCCAGCCAAAGTGAAAACCATGCAGTCCTCCATGATCTGGGAAAAAACAGTCATTTCAGTCGATTTTTGGAAACTGTCACAATCTTTAAGTTACCTTTTTGGAATAGAAAGCAGAGTGTGTGGCTTCATCAGTATTCACCTGTCGCTCTGTGAGGCTGGACTGAAGCAGAGCGTCCACAAACGCCGTCTGCTTCCTCTGAGCCTTCCTGTCCTTCGCCACCGACAGCAGCACGGACTGCATCTCTGACAGAGCTGAACACACGGGAAACGAAAAATCCGTTATCTTTTCACAACTTTGAACATGTTAAAAAGACTGCATTTCAAGCATCTATCTTGCAAATTGTCCTTGGCACATAAATCAATAAAGGTCCCCCAAAACGACAGAAGCTGTTCCCTGAGGATGCTGAAAAGGGTGGTTGTGCAGTGTGTGTGTGTGTGTGTGTGTGTGTGTGTGTGTGTGTGTGTGTGTGTGTGTGTGTGTGTGTGTGTGTGTGTGTGTGTGTGTGTGTGTGTGTGTGTGTGTGTGTAGCAGGTCTACACACACAGATCAAGTCTGATCCTCTGCAAACTTTCCCTGCTGTTTCTCCACAGCACAACAACAGAAGACAACACAAAGCTGCTCATGAACACACACACCCAATCCCAACGACTCAAAGAACAACAGAAGGTAGCTTCCATAAATCAGGTTTCATCTGTTTTTAATTAGGATTTGGGCTCCTAGCGAATATGAAAAACGCTGCTGTCACAACATATCTTTTATTTTGGACATATTTATATATTATTTTATATTTTGAAAATGTACATAGTAGAAGTGCACTTACACATTTTAACTTATTTATTTTTGATATGATTTATTTAAATGTTTATGTATATTTATAGTTAGGTATGAAATTATCGTGATCTAATTATTGACTAAAATATTTGCTATTAGGATATTTGCCATAATTGAGCAGCCCTTTTTCAACAATTCCACATATATTAAGTTTGGTTTTAATAAAGCCACTCACCCTTCTCATAATGTGCTTTCCTGCTGGAGCTTTTCTCAAGGGAGCCGTCCAAGTACCCTTTTCCAATTTCTGACCAGATCTGGAGAGTAGGAAGAAGAGAAAAACATGTATTTAGTCACTCCAGCAGTATGCAGACTGTAGCATCCCAACTCACAGGTTAAAGGAGACAGTTCAACAAATATATGGGGGGGCATTTATGCAAAAGTACACATTTGCAATCCAAAGGAGCGGAGGAAAGACCAGAATCAGCTGCACAAAAACATTTGTGTAAGAGCTGCACTCCACTGTCTTCTCACCGCGTCGTGGTTCTTGCGGAAGGAGAGGACCTCGGAGTCGTCCCTGAACGTCTCGCCCAGAGCCAGCTGGGTGACGGTCTTCATGGCCAGCCCCAGCAGGTGGGCACACAGAGGGGTGTGCTGAGCCTCCGGGGCGGACGTCCACTTCCCCACCAGCTCCTCCACCAGCTATGAGAAGAAAGTGGGGAATATGTCTAAACGCTTGTTTTCAACTCAACTTAGTTCTATTGTGTTGCACATCACGAGAGATACAGACCCTTAGCACCAGGGGGAAGTTCTTCTCCACCGTGTTGTTGATGGCACTCTCGTAAACCTTCTTCCTTATCACGCTCTCTGTGGCCCCGCCTCCCGTTCCTGACTGGTAGCCCAGCAGAGACTTCAGCATCGTCTCAAAGGAGTCAGCTGACAAGAACAGAGACACAAAGACAACATGTTATGTTTTCCTTGTGAGTGAAAACCAGTCTTGTGAAAGTAAAATGTAAGAGCTTTTAAGGAACCTAAAACTCCAGACTCTTTTTAAGATCACATTTAAATTGTTACAATAAATACATGTGCAAGAAATAAAGGTTAAAGCACTCTTTTATACCCACAACCATCAATGTACATATTCACTTTGTTTATTTCACCAGCTTAACTCTGATTGCAGATCAGTATTATTTAATGCTCAGCTAGTGCCTGGTGTAAGAAACAAGAAGACAGCAGCAAATATGACAAGTCTTTCATTTCAAATATTAAAAGGCTTCATGGGAATGTAAGCATTTTCCTAACTTTTAAGGCTTTGTCCAACTTACTGCTGTGGTTGGGGTTGATGTGTTGCTGGAGCTGGAGCACGGACCCCAGGCTGACCACGGGGCGACCCCCGAACCAGAAGGAGGCCACGGAGCCAAACCGCAGATGCAGACTGACCAGGAACTCATGCAGACTGCCTCTGTTCACGATGTCCTGCAGGTTCCCATCCCTGAGAGAGAAGACGGGAAAGTGAATATCCATTTCACATTATACAATTGTATTTGTTTGGAATTGACTCATTGATATTTGCAATATCCTGTTATTGAATGAAAGAGAATGCAATATGACAACTTACTTCTCATCAGTAGGATTGAGGCCTGGTATACCAGAGGCCCTTCTGGATGACTGAAAACATGATTAGAAATTGCATTTATTTATACATTTTTCACACACATCTACTGTTTCTTCATATGAATTCATGGATTAGTTATTATGAATATCCTAGTTACAGCTAGATCAAGTACTGTTCAATGAACCTGTATTGAATCTCAGCCAATTTCATCTTTTCTAACTTACTTAGACAATATATGAAACTATTATTTCATCTGACTACTTAATAAGGTCTTTGGGGGAAATCGGCATAGAAATTGGGTACTTGACAGCATCCATTTTCAAAGATGGTACTTAAGCGTGGTTGTTACCGCCCACTGTAATTAATTAAATATACATTTCACTGAATTAGGTAATTGATAAGTGTGTTGGATGTTACCCGAAATGGGGAGACAGGTATAACAATTCTTTGAAGGTCTTCATTTATGTTATAGGAGGTGGTCCCGCTTGGCAGTGAGCAAATAAACATTAAATCATTACTTTTTAATGAGGGTTTTGGTAATAACTGGGACAGCTAACTAATGCTAACTTCAAATTTGCAGACTTACCGGGTACAAATAGAGAACAGCGCCAACCAAAATGATGACAAACGTGACAGCAAATATGGCAAAGTCCAGCATGACTTCTCCCTTTTAATAGCACTGTTTTGCTAACTTCTCTTCATGAATATCTGGAGATTTCCCACACAGACTGATAACAGTTACCACGTCAACAGAAACTGGACGGCAGGTCGCATTTCTGTGTTTGATTGTTAGGGTCTGAATGACAGGCAGAGCAAACTAATCGTACTCAGAAAGATCGATCGATACTATCTTGCCAAGTGAATTATTGCCCTTTTTTTACAAAGATTGTTTGCATTATCTTAAGAATTCAAATATTTCAAACTATACATACAAACTATTAATGTTTTAGCAACAAAAACTTTTATATGTTCAAATACAAAAATAAATTGATAAAAGTAATTACCTTATTAGTTTTTTTACTTCTAAAGGGGGACCCCCTGGCATGTTAAAACGTATTTCTTATTTTAAGATATGCATTTATATGTGGGCATATTTTTTAATATAATTATAAATCTCAGTTATGGGAGCCCTCAAAATATTTGAGCTCATAGATTTGACCTGATCATAACATAGTATACTAATAATTAAGTATTAAAAAGGTCATATTCTGGACAGAATCACGGCATGCATCAACAGGTTGGATGCATAATAAGCACCAAAATGGAAAAGAGAGTTTTTTTGATAAATATTTATAAAGAAACAAGCACAATCACATTTAAAAAATACAAAAAATAACACATTTAAACCCAGTGGCAAAATACAGTGCAAAAAGATGTGCAAAATGGCAACAATACGCCTCAGAAGAAGAGTACGGAGTTATATTTTCTCAGGCGGTCATTTCGGATTTGTCCTCTTGTTTGGGAGGCTCGATCCTCATGGCGTCCAGATAATCTGAGGAAGGACAAAAATATATATAACGTTTTTTCTCTTTCTATTTGAACATGTTTTCACCCTTCTCTCTGGTGTTCTCTCACCGTGAGTGTAGTCTGTTTCTGGTCGTGTGGCGATGAAGACCCAGGCCAGCCCCACCAGCAGAGCCACCACCAGGTTCACCGTCACCCAGGGGTGCAGAATCTGGTGCTCCAAACCTGGTGGCCTAGGGAAGGAAAAAGGAAAGTAGCTTGTATGATACCTAGGCTTCAGGAAAATATATCAACATTAAATATTTCCAAGGCGCTGACCATAGAGTAGTGTTGAAGTCTGGGTACAGGTTGATGCGGTCGCTGGTCATCTGCTGGCTCAGAGAGAGGATCAGCGCAGAGAAATACACTGCAGGAACAAAGAGTGTGAGATGATGCCATATGACAGTTTGAGATAGTAAATCATGTGGACTCACAGAAAGAGGCGAGAGCGACGGGGTTCAGCGTGATGAACTCCTGCAGAGCCACAGAGCCTTTGGCCAGGTTCAGTCTGAGAACAAGAGTTATAACAAAATAAAGGAATTCTGATTCATGTTAACACACAAATGGATCTTTAACTAGGAAATCTATGCTGTAAGTAAATATTTGTTTTCTTTGATCGATGCATCGGCTCCTCACGCCGTGTTGTTGTTGAGATTTCTTTACCTGTCGAAGGCGGCCACGGTGCTGACGGCCAGCAGCAGGTACAGCAGGGACTGGGCGGGGTAGGCCAGGCTGTGGTACTGCTGCAGCAGGTTGGACAGAGCGGTGAGCTGCTGCCCCGCCAACATGTACACCACCACCATGTTCCACAGGGCGTGGCCCGCCAGGAAGCCATGGCAGTACAGACCCAACACCCTGCAGCACAGAGACACAAAGGGTCACTTTGGTTCATTAGTACAGGCAGGAGACACACATAAAGACACAAGTGTCATGAGAGGAAATACAACCCAATAAATAAAAAATATTTTTTTACTAATAATATGGTTATTAACATAAACTTAAACTGGAAGTGAAACATTAATAATTGCTCTTAACCAAACCTAAATATTAAACATATCCATACAATTAAACCAAAAATATATTGTATGGTGAAAATACTAATAATAATAAAACAAATCCGTACATTTCAGGAAATTGAATCAGATATATATAAAAAACAATATGGTGGATCTATTTAAAACGTATTGAAAAACTATTTTAACCTTTCCACACACTTGATACATATTTTGTATCGTACAAGTCACCTGAAGCAAAATCAAACACATCTGAGATGAAGTGGAAAACACATATTTCCAATGAGTCAGAATGACTTGGAAAATAATGGATTGGATATTGATAAAAAAAGATCTGAGTTGTGCATCCCTTTTAAAAACCTATTGTACATCCCAAACTACAATGACGCTATGCAGTGCACACACTCTTGCTTTGTCAGTTGTAGCTCACCTGAAGCCGCTGTGCACTCTCAGGGAAACGTCTCTGGTGGAGCAGAGCGGCTGAACATTGAAGTCCGTCATGTTCTCCGTCTGGATGTTCGCCTTCCTCCAATCGGAGCGCTCTGCAGCCTGGAACCGCTCTGAAACAGGAACACACACGACACATGAGGATGTCCTTTAATGTCCCACAGGCGGCCGCATGGTCTCCTGTTGTTACTCACTGTTCCTCTCCACAAACACCTTCCCCACCGGCTGGCTCTGACCCTGCGGGGCCGCGAACAGGGGGTACTGGAAGATGGAGGGGGGGGTGTCGGAGATGATGTCATCCTCTTCTACGTCAAACTCATCCGGGAACGGAGACTCGACCACTTTTGACTTCCTAAAATCACAAGATTAACAGTTAGAGAGCAAAATGTACCGGATTGTATTTTTCAAATGTTCTCACCAACTATCTCTTAACTTGCTTTTAGTGCTTTTAGAATGCAGATGACACTTTTTGTATTATTTTGTCATAATTGCTTTGGTTTTGTTGTATTGTTTAAAAATAACTACACTTGGACGTAAAGAAACCTAAATATATTCAGATAAATGTGGAAAATATTACAATATATAAATAAACCTGATCTCCAACCAGGTGTTAACGCATAAAACGCAGCTTTCTATATTAGTGGTTGTTTCTGACATTATGAAATGTGCTGACACAACACAATGAATACTTTCTTACTTTTTCTTCTTGGATTGTTTCCCCACCTCCTCTCCATCCGTGGTCTGATCTGCTGCGTCTCTGTTCACAAGGTCCGCCTGGTCATCGTCCTGATCTGAAAGCATGAATTCACCCTTTAATTGTGCTCCTTTGAGGGAAAGGGCTTTCTTAGGATAAGGGAAAGCTGCTCAAATGTGGAATTCATCATTTACATAAAGATAATCGTTTTCTGTGTTTACCTATAGTAGGAACTTTCTTTCTCTTCCTCCTCCTCTGGGGGGCTGCGTCCGTCGTCTCTTCAAAGGTAAGATGTTCTCCGTTCTCAGATTCCTTCCGTCCCATCGCCATCCCATGATCTAAACAGGAAACAGCAGAAGCGGTAAAGGAACGGGAAACACCGACCTGCAACTCTCATGCTTTCTACGTGTTATAATGTTTTTTTGAATTCTCTTTCTGCAAATAAAACAAAATGTAAGTAAAACAAATGTTTAGGTTTGCAATCTACTGCGGATGTGTGTTTATGTGTAANTGCGTGTTATGAAGCTCTTTGTAAACGGTCTGCAGAGTCACAAACCCTCAAAGTACACCCTGTAGCGAGTAAAACTCTAACACAGAAAATACCTTCATCACTTTCTGATCCTGTGTCTACAAACTGATCTTAATGCAGGATACACTACTTTCTTTTGGTTAAAGAAATGATTTGAAATAGCAAAGAAGTCTTGTTTTATCCAAGCCTGAAATGTATCAGACCAAAAATGTGTTAATTGTATTAAAGGGGCAGCACGGAACTATTTCAATTCTCTTTCTGCAAATAAAACAAAATGTAGCTAAAACAAATGTTTAGGTTTGCAATCTACTGCGGATGTGTGTTTATGTGTAACGTACCGTCAATATCATCGACTCCATTCGTCTCCTTTTTCACTTTCTTCTTCCTGCGCTTCTGTGCCGGTGCTTCTACTGTGCACGGGAATAAATACATAAAGAAAATGAAATCAAGAGCTTGAGTAAAAACAGGAGGCGTTTTCATGACATGTATCCAATTACTACTATATTCCAAATCCAGACTCACCAGCTGTGTCTTGACTTCATGTTTCCAAATGTTCAACAGAAGAGAGAAGGAGTTTAGATCGACTGTTCAGTGTAAATATTGCAGATTAAAATGTTGTATCAGATTAGAAAAGCACATTGACTCACCTCGGGATTGTGGGAAGCGCGCGTGGTCCTCGCTTAGAGACACAAATAGAAGAACAAGTCACTTATGTTTCAGATCATTTCACACCATCAAATCCAATGATACATTTTGCAGCTATCACACATAACATGATTTATTTTTATATATATTTTTTTTTCTATGTAAAATTCCTACTTTATTGATTAAACTGTTTTTTTTAGGGTTTACCAAATAAATGTAAGATTTATCAACTTAAACTTAACACCCCATAGGTCAAACGTAATGCTTGTTTCACAGTGATAATGTCTTGAATTATGTATAATACAAAATAATTAAACAAAAAAGAACAGGTGCAAATGAACAGTTTCTTATAAAATGTAGACAAACACTGTACAAGCTTTTCAGAAATTCTCAATTATAACAAAGTCAGTTATTTCAGCCAAGAATCAACCCAGAGTGGAGATAACAAATAACATCCTGGCTGACAGCTAAACCATCGCTAAATCTGTGTTCATACGCCCGCCAGGACGGGGGATTAGTCAGGGCAGAGGTCACAAGATGCTTTAATCTTCCTGAAGAAGCTTCTTATGAAGTGTATACTCTGCCTTATCGTCACTAAACACACTCGGACAGGTCAGAAGAAACTTTTTTATTACACTCCAAGTGACAATTACCTTATAAAAAGTGACATTTCTTTATTTGAGACATGTTTTAAATCAGATTTGTCCGCCCTGCCTTGCAAACGTCATTGAGGTAAATCAAATCATTTTGTAATGTTTAAAGACCTTGTTTTAGTTTCTTAAAATCTATCATTTTTCACATTTTCAAGCTACGTCATTTCGAGTTCATTACCAGTTATTCTTATGAATATGTTTTAAATGAACATTGTCTGCATATTTCTAAATAATAGATGATCTGGTTGATTCCCTCTTTATTAAGTAAGTTTATCAAATTCCTGATAAAAAGTTAAACTGATGTTCAGCTCCTGGATTTTCAGTTTTTAGGGGATAAAATGTACTTCCGGTAACTTGCAATGTGTGGGTTGTAATATAGGGTCACATTTAAACACTAATGTGCATAATGCAGGCGGGGAAATGAACACCTGGAGTTGTGTTACACACCTGTGGAAGAGGAGGGAGCTCTCTGGAACGCGTTCTCTATAATAGAAAATATATATATAAATTATTAGCACTTTTTCCAAGTATGCTAACTAGCTTTCTTGAATGCTCCCAACATTTAAATCAAACTCACAAGTAAAAAGTCAGGGTCTGTAGTTAACAGTTAGCTTGCGTCAGTTAACACAAATAGTATAGTTTTCACAAAGGAAAAAGCCATAAAAGGTGAACAGTCAACACATTTAGAAATTAAAATAGCATTTACTGCTAGCAATACAGCTAGCGTTACTTTAAAGTCTTCCTCTTCAGTGAAAGGAGTTACCGTTATTTAGGACAATAAGTTACCTTTGAGCCTCCTGTGTCCATATTTCTCAATTCTCTTAAAAATATGCCTTTACAAAAACATCCAGTTAAATCATCGTTAGTGTAATTAAGGACTACAGCCGTTAAAAATGATGAAAAACCGCTACTTGTTATGATTCTTTACTTTGTTTATGCTCTGCAGGAGAAGAGAGCCGTTACCCGGATGCATTTGAGCGTAGGACGCAAGACTTCCGGTTCCTTCAATATAAAGGCTCCCACACAAAGTAATAAATCAGATAACCAACATGAATTAAAGCATTACTATCAGAACTGGTTTATTAATGTCACAAATAGGTACAAATATTACAACATCATTGCTTTTACTTTTGTATATTATCACATCAGTTGATTTAAATAAGGACACAAGAGTGTATTTTTGTGCCAGGTTTAATAAATGTTTTCTTTGGCATGCAATGACACATTTTTTGCAAAACCCAAAAGAAATGACACAAATTTAAAATGAAAAAACAACACAATTAACAAGAAACCAATTCTAGTATGTAAACATCAAATCACATTCTTTTCGCAGGTCTGTGTAAAAGAGTGTGGAGAAGGGCACGTAAGCTGCCTGTAATAAAATGATGATTACAAACTGAGATAGAGATATGGCATTGATCCTTTTCTCACTTAATCTGTCATCTCTGTTACCTTTAGATTTAAATTACGATTTTTGTCATGGTTCGGTGGTCCCATTTCTCTGGTCCCCCTCGCCTCCACCTCCACCCTTACGTGCTGGTGGGTCGTATCCAGCTGGCGGGGACCCACTGCGGCTCGTCCTGCGCCTTCCTCACCGCCGTCAGCATCTGGACGCACGAGTCCTGCAGCTCGTCGTTAACGATCACGTGGTCAAAGAACTGGCAGAACTGAGACTCGATCTTACGGGCGGATTCTTCAATCTCCTGGAAGTCTTCATCCTGTTGGAGGACACAACAGTCAGAAGGGATTTTTTTAATATAGCTAAAACAAGGTGTGGTATAATAATCATAATAATAAAGCAAAATAACTGAAAATAAATTGTCATACTTAAAAGCAGGGCCACTAGTACTCAAGATTTATTTTATTTTATTGCCATGTAACTGAGATTCGGCTTCTCATAGTCGACAAAATATATATTTTTTTGTATTGTTCTATATTGATTGGAATTCTGAAACAAACATACTTGTTATCTGTTAGAAAATTGAGTTAGAGTGTCTCAACTTACATTGATTTTACTGTCTTAATGTTTTTGGAAGCCGTACATTTGACAAGAAACGAGACACATTTCTTTACTTTGCAAATCACCACCTTTTATCCGAGAGAATAAACAAGTATCTTTCTTGTAAATCTACAAAATGTATCTGTGAAATGCAGAATTATAATTACAGGCTCTGTGGTTATTTAAGAAAATTGTAAGAAAATGTTGTCACAGGGTATTCCCAGCCTGAGGTAAGAACATCCAGCTCACAAAATGAAAATAATATGAGGGGGGGTTACTTTGAACGGCCGGTTGACGTAGTAGTTGGTGGTGACGTGCGCCCCCCGCCTGGTCTCCTTGAGGCGCTCGTGGGGGGGAGGCTTCACGTAGATGATGTAGGCCTTCAGCTCGTGGGTCCTCACTGCCGGGATGGCCTGACAGGAGAAATGAAACCTTTAAAAAAGCAGTTCTCTAAACGAAAAGGACAAGGGTGTAGGAGTACACCTTACATTTGGCTCTATGTCCATGACGCAGATCTTCCCGCTGTTTAAGACCCCCCTCACAGACTCCACGCTGGTGCCGTACAGACTTCCTCTGTACTCGCCGTACTCCAGAAACCTGCAGGACAATCAGATTGTTTATAAAACACACGTACATTTCTAGCACTTTTTGCATAATCACGAGCTTGCATTTCAGAATCTCAGTGGACGTTAAAGGCTCACATTTATTAGAGACTAGTAGACAGCATGAATACATCGTGTTTAAGTTATTGTGGCGCTACGTTCGTTTGTTATTAATGGATTCACAGCAGAGTACCTGTTGTTTTGAATCATGTTGTAGAAGATTTCTCGGCTGATGAAATTATATTCTCTGCCGGACTCCTCGTATTCTCTGGGTGCTCTTGAAGTGTCTGGAAAACATAAAATAAAATATATTTTCATACAAGAACTCCCAGAGAGAATACAAACTTTTCAGAGCTGTAATTTTGATATTTGTTGTGTTGTGTGTATAAGAAATCTAGACCGCAAAAAAATTAAACAAGCGAGTGCCTGTTTTTGCTGGCCAAGCTTGGTCAGGGTCCTTGAACTCAACACGAGCATAACGTGTCATCACGTGGTATATGTCTCGACTGACAGGGGTGCAGTTCTAACGGAGAGCACCAGAACGCGACTCCAGCACTTCAGAAATTGCAATACCCATAAGGAGCTATACACATGCTACACTTTGTTCGTGGCTGTGTCTTTAGTTGTAAACCCAGTGGCGATCTGTTCATCTGTCATAATGATCNCACGTACGAGGTACCGCTCCCTGGAAGATTTTCGGGTTAATTTCAATCAAGCGCCTCCGAAGTTCATTCACCCCCACACCAGACGGACCTGAGAGAAAAAGAAAGACCTTATCATAATCATACATTTAATCGAGTTTTCGATTTCATACCATTTTAACAGATGACGAAATGAAATGCACCATTGGGAATCAATTCAACTTTAAAGGTCCCCTATTATACTGTTTTTCATCAATATATCACAGGTCTCAGATAT